CACGAGCAGGGGGCAGACGCAGGACTAGACCTGGACGTGGTAGCAAACACCTAACTGGACGCGGCTACCTGACCAGATGCAGAGACCGGAAGAGACGCAGTAGTCAGTGTGCACAGACTCGACCCAGGCCGACGGGTGAACGTGGCCAGGTGGCGGCCCGTCCGAGAGCAAGTGCAGTGGGTCACACGCTGACCTCCAGGGGTGAACTCGTCAACCCACGCGTCCTGGAGGTCGCTCCACTCACCAGGTTCGTAGAGAACGAGGGAGGTGGAGTCCCGACAGCAAGCCCGACGGGGCCGCAGGACACGGTAGAACCGTGGAAGAGTGCGCAAGGACTGGGCCCCCAGAGGGGTCAGCCAGGGAGACTGCGACAGGCCGACTGAGCGGCGTGAGTGTGGTGCTGTCTCGAAAGAAAGAGCGCGAAGCACCAGAGTCAAGTGTGAAAGTGTGCAAGGCCTCAGTAGGTGCAGTACCAGAAAGAGCAGACTCACCAGCACCTGGAGCAGCAGACTTACCAGTACCTGGAGCAGCAGACGCACTAGCACCTAGAGCAGCAGCCTCAATGCCCGGGTCGGGCGGGACACTCAGGTAACAGTCACCCTCAGCACTATCAGTCAAAGCATGCATGGCAGCAAGGATAGCATCGAAATCAAAATCAAAGATAGCCACATTCTGCCTAAGCAGATCACCCCAGCGAGGGAGCTCAACAGCGTCAGGAAACTGGGCGCGCCAGGCATCAGTCAGACGACCGAAGCTGCGCTGCGCAGTGTGTGGCAGCCCGCACGTCTCCCCACGACGACTGCCGGTGCGAAGAACGTAAGTGCAGGGACCAGCACCCCCAGACCTCCCACGCCCAGCGTACCACTCACGAAGCTGCTGGGCCGACGGGGTCTCACGGGAACGCGGCTGCTGCTGGTGCTGGCTACCACCAAAGCCTCCACGCTGCGCGGCTGCACCTCGACTAGCACCACCACCGCCGCCACCTCCACCACCGCTGCCGCTGCCTCCACCACCGCTGTCGCTGCCTCCACCACCTCCGCCGCTGCCTCCACCACCTCCACCGCCACCACTGAAGCCTCCACTCCCGGCACCACCCCCACCTCCACCGCCACCCCCTCCGCCTCCTCCACCGCCTCCGCCGCCGCCCCCGCCGTCCCCTCCACCACCCTTGCTTCCCTTGCCCTTGCTGTTGCGGCGCCTCCCACTGGGAGCAGACGCAGTCCCGACCTCCTCAGTGCCAACGAGGTCAACAGCAGCAGCAGAAGCAACAGAGGGGAGAAGGGGGACAGGGGAACACCCCTCAAAGAAAGGGGTGCGACAGTCGCCGCGAGAAGCACCTACAGCTAAGATACTCTTCTCATTTGCAGCGAGGCGCTCCTCTAGCAGGTCGACAGTGAGCTCGGTGGGGCAAAGGGAGAGAAAGTGGTCCCTGACTGAAGCAAGGGAGTCAGGGAGGTGGGTGACTAGGTAGTAAAGGGTGATGTATATGGGGGGGGGGTCTTGGCACAGAACTCAGTGGGAAGGGCAGCACGGTAGCGGGCGTCACTAGTGCGGAGGTGAGTAATGAGGTCAGCAACTGTGGCAAAGGCAGTAAGGTCAGGGAAAAGGTACGGCAGCATGAGGCGACTAAGGGCAGCAGTGGCAGTGGAGGAGTAGCGCGCAACTACAGCGTCGTACAAAGACTGAGCAGTCTTGTACTGACCAAAATGTGCGCGCTCAGCAGGCGGCAGGTGACTATGATCAGCAAGACGAGCAACAGCGTCACGAGTGGTCCACTGCGAGCGAACCGTACTGTCAGCAATGGCAGCAGGTGCAGTAGAGACACCGAACGTGTGATCGAAAAGGGATACCCCATCCCTAGAGTCACACTGAAGAAAGAGCTGCAGGTCGTCAACCCACACGTCAAAGTCAACTGCACGTCCCTCAGCATCAAAGGTGAGAACAATAGGGCTAGCCATAGCAGCAGTAGCAGCAGCAGCAGCAGAGGCAGCAGTAGCAGCAGTAGCAGCAGAGGCAGCAGTGGCAGCAGTAGCAGTAGTGCAGGCAGGGCAGTGCGGCTCAGTAGGGCGGCGCGGCTCGGTAGGGCGGCGCGGCTCGGTAGGGCGGCGCGGCTCGGCAGAGCGGCGCGGCTCAGTGGGCGGTGCGGCTCGGCTGGGCGGCGTGGCTCGGTAGGGCGGCGCGGCTCGGCTTCTAGCGGCGCGGCGCAGCAGGGCGGCACGGGTGCTTACCAGGGGCGGGTGCAGGGCCGGGCCGCGACAGCAGGGGCCGCGACAGCTGGGGCCGCGACAGCAGGGGCCGCGACAGCAAGGGCCGCGACAGTAGGGGCCGCGCCAGCAGGGGCGGCGACGGCAGGGGCCGCGACAGCAGGGGCCGCGACAGCAGGGGCCGCGATAGCAGGGGCGGCGATGGTTGGGGCCGCGACAGCAGGGGCCTCGACGGCTGGGGCCGCAACAGTAGCAGGGGCCGCGACGGCAGCAGGGGCCGCGACGGCAGCAGGAGCCGCGACGGCAGCAGGGATCGCAGCGGCAGTAGGGGCCGCGACGGCAGTTGGGGTCGCGACGGCAGTTGGGGCCGCGACGGGCGGTAGGGGCCGCGACGGCAGTTGGAGCCGTGACGGCAGTTAGGGCCGCCACGGCAGGTGGGGCCGCGACGGCAGTAGGGGCCGCTACGGCAGTAGGGGCCGCGACTGCAGCAGGGGCCGCGACGGGCGGCGACGGCAGGGCCGCGACGGGCCAGCAAAGGCAGGGCCGCTACGGGCCGTATCAGGGCAGGGCGCGAGGCGCGCTTCGGGCAGGGCAGAAAAAAATCGTGGTGGGCCCTAAAAAAACGTTCCCACTAGGGAACCTGCTCAGAATACTATGTGAGAAAAGTGAACGAATGAATCATTGAACTAGGAAGCAGGTGGGTACAAGAAGCAAACCTAAAAATGTTGTACCCTATAAGAAATGCCCCACTACAGCCTAAACAGACTATAGCATATAAGTTTGACATTATTTGCCTTGAGCAGATATCTGAAGTGACTCCTCTGCTTGAGTGCTTTCCGACGAACCGAGAATCGTCACGATCGGAGCAAGAACGAGAAATATATGATCGTTCGAAGTTTTGATTGAGATGCGGCGACTATGGGAATTTGCGGGTTGACTCAATATGGGGTACAGACTTTTGGGGGTTGGGAAATTCGTCTCCATCACTGTAGATGATGCCAAGTGGTTGGGAGAAGCCAAACCAGGTTGGCAAGTGTGGCCAAGTTGGGTGAGGTGGATGGCATGAGTTGGGAAAGTGACAAATGTCAAAGTTGGGGTGCCTGGTACATTTGTTGGTGCTGATGCATTCACTGTCGATTGCTGGCGAGCGGAGTCGCGTTCCGCCGTGAGTGTGGCGATTTCGAGGGCCGAATCTTCGAGTTGGCGTACAAGACGGTCGAGCTGCGCTTGTGTCAGTGTCGCGAGAGTGATTTCAGCCATGGCGGGGGGTGTCGGGCAAGCTCAGCGAGAGCCTCTGTCGTGGCCGTGCGTGCTTACGAGAGAGCACTACGAGCGGCGGTGCTTGGTCGCTGAGAGACGTCTAACCCCCCCAAAAAATTGAGATAGTGGGGAAGCGAAGGTGTGGGTGCGGTCCGAGAGAAGATCGTAAGCTCTGATAACCAAAAGTTACGAGTGCAATGGAGTGAGCGAGCGAGGATTGCACTATCGAGGCAAGATACAACGAGCGAAGGTTTTGAGCGAAGAATATTTAGCGAAGCTACAGTGGTAACGGTAACGTGTGGAAAATGGGGTGCGCGACGGGCCTGGTGCCGAGGTTGGGGAATGTCGAGGCGGAGGTCCGGAGCGCGGGTTACCAACCGAACCGTAAGGTTGGGTCGCATCGTGAACAGTGGCGGGAATGGGGTCGAGGCGAATGTCGCGAGTGGTAACGGGATATTGTGGGGTGCTGTTGGCGGGAACAGTGGTGTACGCGCTGAGCAGGGACGCGAAGTAAGGAAAAGGAATTTTCCTTACAAAAAGAAAACCATACACAGAATTATCAGCAACAAAAATTCTACCAACGCTGAATTTCCAGCGTTTTCTTGCTAGGAATCGCTGATCATCGGCGTTTTTTTCTGTACCCGAAACCCTAAGGCTGATGGATCAGCCTGGTCCAAAACGAAACTAGGGGCCTGCTGTGCAGCCGAAACTTCCGCGACGTGCACGCCCTGTCGCCACCACTTCTTAGGACGCGTCAACTCCCTCCAATTTTGGCGATCGATAGTGCAATTTCGATCGGCCACCGCACTGAAAAACCTGCTATTAGCACCCAAAACTTTCCAGACCGTTCGAAAAGACGTCAAATTTCGATCCTGCGCAGGATCAATCGCGCCAATGTGACGGGAGTTGACGCGTCCTTAGGACAGCGGCAAACACTCATAGCACGATCACGCACGCGTCGTCCATGTTCCCGCTACTGTCCGCATAAACATTCCGCGGCCTTATCAGGCTAACCTTAGCGCGGTGCTGGCTCGCATGGCGCGGCTGCCGAACCTGGTGCTGCCGTGGGTGCCGAGTCCGAACGAGCGAGGGTCGTCGAGCGACCTGCCCACTCCCGAGATCCGAGACGACGTGCTGCGAGCCAGGGTGAAGGAAGGTGCGCGTGGGAATGGGCGTGTAGGAAATGCGTATCCGATCCACACCAACACCGGATTGCGAATCACATGGTTGCGTCCCTCCAACCTGCTTCGTCCTGCCGCTAAGATCGCCCCGGGTCGCTCGTTCTTGACTCATTGCTGCCGTCGCGGCCGCCTCCACGCGTGTGAAAGCGGCGCGTGGCCGCTGCCTTGCCGCCACGGCCCACCTCCTCTCCGTCATCCGACCTCTCACTTCTCCCGCTCCCCTACCTTCTTCCCCACCGCTGCGCTCCCCTCTCCCTGCCTTCCCCCACCCCCGTTGCGTTCCACCCTCCCTGCTTCTCTCCCCCGCGCTGCCCTCCACCCTGCCTGTCTTGCCCCTCGCGGCGTGCGCGAGCAGCGCAGCAGACGGCGGCGAGTGCGCGCGTGGGGTGGGCGGTGCTGCACGTGGTGGTGCCGGCGGCGCTGCTGCTGCTCAACACGTCGCTCGCGCAGGCCCTTGTGCAGCAGCCCGTGGGGTGCGTGCGTGGTAACCATCGCGTGTGAAATGTGGTGTGTTGTACCCACAGCATCTGGTGGGGTCAACACAGCAGATGATAGGATAACGACTGCAGCTGGTAGGTAACCACTGCAGCTGGTAGGTAATCAGTGCAGCTGGTAGGTAACCACTGGTAGGGTAACCACTGCAGCTGGTAGGGTAACCAGAGAGGGGTCGCTTGCCATGCTACTGTGCGACTGCCTGGAATGCAACTCACATCGTCTCATCATCCTCACCCCATTCACCTTCCCTCTTCCCACACCCTCCCGCCGTCCCCCGTCTTGCCCCGCACTGCGCAGGGCGGAAGCGGTGTGCTACGGGGTGCTCTTCCTCGCCACGCTGCTGCAGTACCTCTACACCTCGGGCTCCTCGCCTGGGTGCGTGCGCTCTTCCCTGCCCTGCTCCGCTCTGCTCCGCTCCGCTCTTCCCTGCTCTGCTCTTCCCTGCTCTGTTCTTCCCTGCTCTGCTCTTCCCTGCTCTGCTCTTCCCTGCTCTGCTCTTCCCTGCTCTGCTCTTCCCTGCTCTGCTCCGCTCTGCTCCGATCTTCTCTGCTCTTCATGAATGATCCAAGCCCCGTGCAGGACCCCATTGCATGTGCGTTCTCTCCTGTTCCTCTATTTTTCTTTCCTGTCCAACTGCACGTGCATGGCAAATGAATGGCGTATGAATGGCATGTGGATTCGTCTGAGAGAATTGTGCATGGTATGTGAATGGTATGCGAGTGGCATGGAATGCCATGCCAATGTGTGAATGGCATGTTTCTGTGTGAATGGCATGTTTCTGTGTGAATGGCATGCAAGTGGTGTGCATGCATCCTGGCCGGCAGGTACGTGCAGGATGTGGCTGGCAGCCTGCAGGCAGCCGTGACAGCAGCCAATGCACGCCATGCCGCCACACACGCCGTGCCACCCCCTTCACCAGCATCCCCCCCTCCAACCGTGTCTCGTCCGCGAGCAGAGGCAGAGCCTGCACCGCCACATGTGGGACGAGCAGCTTCACCCGCCACCTCAACGGCAGCTGCAGCAGCAGTGGCAGTGCCAGTGGCTCCAGCAATGGCAGCAGCAACGGCAGCAGCAGCAGCACAGGGGGCAGGGGAGGTTGCAGTGAAGGGGGGCTCAGATGGTGGGGCTGGTGCAGCAGAGGAGGACGAGTGCGATGGGGGGGTTGGTGAAGGGGATGAGAGTGCGTTGCTGGATGGGGTCAAGGTTGAGACGAGCAGGGATGACGCCTCCATTGCTGCGTCCCCCTCCCCTCATCCATCCCATCCATCCCAACCATTGCACTCGTCCCATTCATCTCTTACCACCTCCAGATGGTCCACTCCACCCGAGTCCTCCCTCCCACATGCCGCCCCACCCTCTCCCTCTCCCTCACCCTCACCCTCACCCTCACCCTCGCCCTCACCCTCTGCCTCCGACGCCCTCCCCCTGTCACACGCCCACAGGACAGCAGCAGGCGAGTCTGCTGTCCTCCCCGGCCTCCTCACTCCTCTCCTCGCCTCCCCCCACCCCACTGCACCGCGGGCTGTGCGCCAGTCCTCCCCATCCTGCGCTGTGGTGCCTCTGCCCCCTCCCAGGGGGAAACGGGGTGATGAGGGGGGCAGGGGGGAGTCTCATCTGCACTCCCAACCCCTTCCGCTTGCTCCCAGCGCTGCGCATCCCCATGGGCCCTGGGCCCTGCTCGCGCCCTGCCTGCCAGGCTGCCGGTGGTGCGGGCACGTGGGGTGCAGGTGGTGCGGGGACAGGGGGTGCCGGTGGTGTGGCGACGGGGCGGATGCACCGTGTGATGACGTGGAGAGAGGGGCGGAGGCTGCAGAGGGAGAGGGGGAGGGGGAGGGGGAGGGACGCAGCTGCTGTGGGGCACGGGCATGGGGTGCTGCGAGGGTGGGCAATAAGGGAGATGGGGGAGAAGAGGGGGAGGTGGAGGGTGTTGAAAGGAGGGAAGGAGGGGCAAGATTGTTGCTGCTGCCCCTGCCAGCACAGCCATCTCGACTCACAGCAGCGCGGTCAAATTTCCTCGTCTCCCAATTCAGGTCTCCCCACCACTCCCTTCCTCTCACGCACATCACGTCCCCTCTCTCTTGCCTCCTGCGCTGCATCTCTTGCAACCCCCATCTCCCTGCATCACCTTCCCACTCTCTTTCCTGCCCATGCTACTGCTACCTCAAATTCCCCCCTCCACTTCCCCCCCCTTTCCCCATGCCCCCAGCAGTGCGCGGCGGTGGTGCCCGTACTGCCGGGTGCAGCAGCCAGTGCGCGCCAAGCACTGCTACGACTGCGGCCGCTGTGTGCTGCGCTTTGACCACCACTGCTTCTGGGTCTCCACCTGCATCGGCCTGCGCAACCACGCGCGCTTCTGGTAACCACGCTCCCCTCTGCTACCTGTTTCTGTTGTGCATGAGGCTAAGCTATCAGGCTGTGATGGCTCTCCCCACATAACGGAACTCAACCACTTCCCCCTGCGACCAATTGCTCTATTGCGTGTGTCCCCTTGTCCACCCAACCCCATCCTCCCACTCCCTCACACCATTTCCTCTTACCACCCCCTGGCATGGCACGGCATTGAGGAGCAGGGTGTACCTGGTGTTGGAGTGCTGCCTCACGTGCTGGTCGCTCCTCATCTGCCTCTCCGCCTTCACCGCCCCCGTCTCACCCAACCACTGGTCCGTCCCTCCTTGCCCCATCCCTGCCTCACCTCCCCTCACACCCGCCTTGCCCCGTCCACGGCATGCCACCCACCTCTCATCCCCTGCTTCCATGTGCCCTCCCCCATCGCCATCCCTGCACCATCCTTCCATGCCCCCCTCCACTATCCACCCCCCACCCACGGGGCACCAGGCTGGAGCACCAGCTGTCAGCGCTGGCGTTCACGGCGCTGCTGCTGCCGCTCACCGTGTTCCTTGCCATCCTCGTGTGCTTCCACACGTGAGTCAAGTCTCTCTGCCACACGTGAGTCACTCTGCCACTCGTGAGTCACTCTGCCACTCGTGAGGCTTGATTTTGCTTGACTCATGTCTAAAATACTCTCCCCTGTCTGTGGCTGACTGCATGCCACGCCATGTCATGCAGGCATCTCATTCTCACGGCGCAGACAACGTATGAAGCTACCAGGAAGCATCGCATCTCCTATCTGCGGTGCGTGGTTCATGCCTGGCACATGCATGTCACATTGTCATGCCACATGCATTGACACGCAAGGCACATGCATTGACATGCCACATGCATTGACATGCCACATGCATTGACATGCCACATGCATTGACATGCCACATGCATTGACATGCCACATGCATTGACATGCCACATCCATTGACATGCCACATCCATTGACATGCAAGGCACATTCCTGCCACACCACTCATCACTAAATGCACGCTCCCATCCATCGCTGCGTGCTGCGGCACACTGCAGGTCCGTACCTGGGGGCGTCCATCCGTTCAGCCAGGGCGCCTGTCGCAACGTGCTGCACCTGTGCTGCCTCAGTCGCCATGTGCTGCCGCTCTATGCTGTCCCATCACCAGCCGTGCTGCACGCCATGGCCTCTGGGGCATACACCACTCGCTCACGGACGTGGGGGCCGTGTTGCTCCTGATGCGATGCCCGCTCCTCCATCAGGGACCCCACCTGTACCATATCTCCGTTTTAGTTCAGTTCTTATTGTCCTGCTGCATGGGAGTGTGCATCAGGCTTCTTTGGATGGTGACTAATGGCATATGCCATACCATGCTTTCCTTATTTGAAGAGCTCAACGAAACGCTTGCCACTTGTCATGTAATACTGTTTTCTTCTATTCAACTTGGCATCAAGCCGTACACTAGTCGTCCCAGCTTGTTGCACGCAGAAGCAAAGATACAGAAGATTTTACTTCATGACGGTTTGAAGCACCTACACATCTCTCGTACACGGCATGTCATCTGCGTGCTGCCGGCCTGCCCTTCTCCTTCTTCCCCTTGCTCTTGTTGGACGCCGCTTCTGCCTCCTCTTCAGCCTTCTGCTCGGCCTCCAGCTTCTCAAGCTGCAAGGCAAGTAAATAAGGACGAAATCAGATTCACGCGCATACACAGAATGGAGTGTATTACAACGGCAGTACTGGCAGGATTCATTAAACTATTACACGGGAGGGGGCGAGGAACAGACCTCAGTGAGGACGGGCAGCAGGTCGCGGTAGCGCGCCTCACAGAGCTCAAAGCCATCCTTGCGCAACTCCTGGGGCACGTGGGGGGGGGGGGCAGGAGGATGAGGAACGCAATCAACCCCATGGGGTGCACCTCGTGTGCTCCGGGGCAGGCAAAGTGCAGGCACTGACTGGCGTATCAGAGCATGGAAGACGGGATTTGGGTGGCTGGCACCACACACACTCGTTTCCGCTTCAACATGCAACCGCCTCGTTCACGAGCCCTGTCCACCCCATACCCAGCAAACAGCAATGAGCCGAACATGCCATGACGCACCTTGCCGGTGCGCTGGGTGTGTTGGTACGCCTCGCGCTGCCAGTGCTCGCCCGTGCGGGCAAAGAAGTCCCTCAGCGACTCGCCAGGCTGCCAGCCACACATGCCCACACACACGCCCGCGCACGCACACGCGCGCACACACACACACACACACACACAGGGAGGGGCACTTGGTAACTCAACTCAGTGACAAGACAAATGTCCGGCAACACAGAATGGAGGTGGTGCAAGGTGCATACACGAAGTCCTGTGTCCTGCGACTCACAATGGGCGTCCTCGCCGTGTCTGCAAGCCCCAGATCCACGCGAATCCGGTCAATCTCCGCCCGCCTCTCCTTGCGCGACAGCTGGCGCTTGCCGCCCGCAGGAGCCTCGCCCCTCAGAAGCGCCGCTGCCAGGTCCGACGCCGTGGCGGCGCCGCCCGTGGCCTGGCGGTTGGATGGTGGGGAAGGCGGTGCATGCAGACTTGGTAAAGGTGCGACCAACAGAAGGAAGCTGGACGTGCATTTGGCTGAAACTCCAGCCATGAGTTCTAGGGACGGTCATACCTTGGCAGCATTCAGCAGACAAATGAGGAGGGCACACCTTGGCTGAAGTCTCATCGTCGCTCGACTCATCCTCGTCCTCCTCTTCCTCCCCACTCTCCTCATCGCCGCTCTCCTCCTCATCGTCCTCCTCCTCCTCTGCCACCTCCACCCATGTGCTCTCTGACCCCTGCACTTGATGTTAACACACACATGCAGGCAGTAATCGTGACACGGCGCGCAGCAAGCAGCATGCAGGACAGGCCCAAAGAACATGAATCACATGAAAAGTGAGCAAGGCAGCATGATCATGACCACGAGCTGTGAATGTCTTCTTCCCCAACCAGCCTTGTCGTAACGCAGGTGGCAGTGAGTGCAGCACAAGTATTGCAGCTGGCAGAACCAACTTCAGGGAAATGAGCGGAATACTGGCCTTTGGGGTTGAGGTGCAGCTGCCACTCACCTTGTGAATGCAGGTCCAGTGGTCGAGTTTGGAGAGGTTGAGGCAGAAGAGGTCGTCCAGAGTCACCTCACGGTCGCCCACCTCCTTGGCGCCGCCCCACAGGTACAGCGTGTTGCCACCCACCGCCAACCCCGCGTTCATGCGGCTGCACGGCGCCTCGCCCCTCTCCCCCTTCCTGCCCTCCTCTCCCTCCCCCTCCTTCCTCTCCTTCCCTTCCCCTGCTGCCTCGCTGCCTCCCCCTGTCTTATCCCCCTCTGCCTCATCGCCCCCTTTCCCCTCGCTGCCCTCCTCACCCGCCTGCCTGTCCTCGCCCACACTGCCCTCCTCAAGGCTCATTCTCTGCAAGCCGCCCTGCACCTCACCACCACTCGCGCCCCTTGGCCTCCCTGCTGCTGCCTGCTCGCTCTCACTGCTTCGCCCGTCTGCCTCCCTGGGCCCCTGGCTGCTCGCATCCATCTCACCCGTCTCACCCGTCTCATCCGTCTCACCCATCTCGCAGTCCCTGCTGCCCGCCCCCCCTTCCAAACCTGGTGCTGCACCGCCTTCGGAAGCGGCAAGTGCATCTGTGCCGCCGCCGCTGCCATCGCCTGCCGCCTCCTCCGCTTCCTCCTCCTCCTCCCACCCATCCCACTCCTCCTCGCCTCCATCATACTCCACCTGAGCCCCTGCTGCTGCGACTGCAGCTGCTGCTGCTTTCGACTTGGCCCCCTTCCTCTCCTTCCGCTTCAGTCTCTGCTTTCTTCGCCCAGTCACCTCCTCCTCTTCCTCCTCCTCGCTCGCACCATCATTGCCTGCCTGCCTGCTCTTCCTCCCTTCCGCCTCCTCGTCACTCTCTGCCTCCCCCTCCTCCCCATCTGCCTGTGTGGCGCTTGCACTGCCTGAAGTGGGCTGAGACAACAGGGAGAGGAGAGGGGAAAAGACGGGTGGAAAGGGGCAAAGAGGAGTAGAGAGGGGCAAAGAGGAGTGGAGAAGGGCAAAGAGGAGAGGAGAGGGGCAAAGAGGAGGAGAAGGGCAAAGAGGAGTGGAGAGGGGCAAAGAGGAGTGGAGAGGGGCAAAGAGGAGTGGAGAGGAGCAAAGAGGAGTGGAGAGGGGCAAAGAGGAGTGGAGAGGGGCAAAGAGGAGTGGAGAGGGACAAAGAGGAGTGGAGAGGGGCAAAGAGGAGTGGAGAGGGGCAAAGAGGAGTGGAGAGGGGCAAAGAGGAGTGGAGAGGGGAAAAGAGCGAAGAGAGGTGGAACTGCCTCCCTGCCTGCCCTCTCCCACCTACCTCCCTCTCTGCCCTCTAACCCCTGCCTCCCTCTCTACTCGCTCACCTCCGCCTTCCTAGCAGCTGCGCGGGCGTGTTGCTGGGAGCGCAGGAGGAGGGGGAACCAGCGGCGCGAGTCCATCTGGAAGGCAAACAGGTCGTCCAGAAACGTGCTGCGAAGCACATCGCCGCCTGCACCTCGCCGCGGGGGGCAGGGTGGGAGGACCGGAGTAGGGGCAGCAGTGTGAGAGCAACGGGAGATAGATTTGTGGGAGGTTTGGCAGGGGAGGAGAGAGCAGTGGGCGGGTGGCAGATGAGAGTGGGCGGAGGGGAGACGGCAGGGGCGGGGGGGCGAGCAGACCTTTCTCCTCGCGGTCGATGACGCCCCCGAAGAGGATGGCGCGGCTGCGGTGCACGGCCAGGGAGAAGCCCGCCCTCGCACTCGGTGGCGACCCCAGCCGCTTCACCTGCATGCAGGCAGGCAGGCGGGCGAGGTGAGGTGAGGTGAGGTGAGGTGAGGTGAGGTTAGGTGAGGTGAGGAGGGGAGTATGAGAGCGTCATAGCAAGGATTCTTGAGAGCACTCAGACAATAGGTGATGCTTCAAACCGAACCTTGTTCCAATTGATCGATGCACCTTGTTCCACTGGAAGGAGCGCGGGTCGAGCAGCCAGAGGTCGGAGAGCACGACGCCCTTGTCCTTGCCGTCCACGTCCCTGCCGTGGTCCTTGAAGTAGCCCCCGTACACATACACCTGCCGTGCCACATGTGACGGCACCATCAGCTCCCATGCTTGCACACGCATGTGAGGCACTAGGCAGTGGCATGTGAGGCACTAGGCAGTGGCATGTGAGGCACTAGGCAGTGGCATGTGAGGCACTAGGCAGTGGCATGTGAGGCACTAGGCAGTGGCATGTGAGGCACTAGGCAGTGGCATGTGAGGCACTAGGCAGTGGCATGTGAGGCACTAGGCATTGGCATGCTTGCACACGCATGTGAGGCACTAGGCAGTGGCATGTGAGGCACTAGGCAGTGGCATGTGAGGCACTAGGCATTGGCATGCGTGCACAGGAATGACGCGCACACTGTGCCCTTTGATTGTGCAGCAGAGCAGGCGCATTGCATGGCAGGGAGGGGGCGGCTGACCTTGTCCTGGTGGGCGGCGAACTGGAAGGCACTGCGGGGGGAGGGCCATGCTGCCCCGGGCTTGGGTTTCACTTCGGACCACTGCGAGAGGCGCGTGGACCATGGAGGTGGGAGGGCAAGGAGGGGAGAGACGGTGGCGGCATGGAGGGGGGTGAAATCAGGCACAGTGATCAGCCTCAACCAACAAGCTTGAGTCACGGATGCGAAGCGAAGAGAGTGGATCAGTGTGGATCCTAGTAGGGTGGAGAGACTAGGACAGAGTGACCCCCTGGTGTTATCAGAGTGACATGAATGGTGCAAGCAGTGCAGTGGCCCTCTCACAGCAAGCAATGGCTACACGAGTTGAAGAAGCAGCAGGGGCCAAGCCAAGCATGCAAGGGCACGTGCCTTCATGTCGTTGAGGTCCAACACGTGCAGGTCGTTGAAGTAGCTGCAGGGCGGGTGGCATGGGGAGGTGGAGGGGGAGAGGAGAAAGAGACAAGAGGCAAGGCGCGTGAGGCACATGGCTGCTTCCAGTGCCGCACGCACGCATGCACAACGGACTGCTTTGCAGCGCTGGGCTCGTGGACGGTGGCAACTGTGGATGAGGGGTGATGGGGTGAGCTCAAGGCAGTGAAGGCAGTGGTGCTTCTCGGGTCTTGGAAGGTGCTGCTGCTCCTTGCGCCATGCCCTCAGCCACATAACGCTAACGCAGTGCGCTCACCTGATTATCCCCCGGCTGTGCATCTCATCACAGCGCACCTTGGTGCAGCTGCCCGCGACTCACCGCACATCCCTGAGGTTGTCATAAAACCCTCCAAACAGCAGTATTTTCTGTTTGTACAGTACCTGCTCTCCAGCAACGCAACGTGAATGAGGGAAAGGGAGGGGGGTTTAGAAGAATAAGTCACGTGTAGGGCTGAAACCCCAGATGCTTGGTTGCAGATGCAAAAACAAAGATGAGAGAAAAGTTGGGTGCAAGTAACGGAGAGGTGGATTGAATGCGAGCCCTTTGGGCATGAAAAGAGCTGCATTCAACCGGGCAGGGCAGGCAGCGCCTCACCATGCGCTGGCCTCACCATGCGCTGGCCTCACCATGCGCTGGCCTCACCATGCGCTGGCCTCACCATGCGCTGGCCTCACCATGCGCTGGCCTCACCATGCGCTGGCCTCACCATGCGCTGGCCTCACCATGCGCTGGCCTCACCATGCGCTGGCCTCACCATGCGCTGGCCTCACCATGCGCTGGCCTCACCATGCGCTGGCCTCACCATGCGCTGGCCTCACCATGCGCTGGCCTCACCATGCGCTGGCCTCACCATGCGCTGGCCTCACCATGCGCTGGCCTCACCATGCGCTGGCCTCACCATGCGCTGGCCTCACCATGCGCTGGCCTCACCATGCGCTGGCCTCACCATGCGCTGGCCTCACCATGCGCTGGCCTCACCATGCGCTGGCCTCACCATGCGCTGGCCTCACCATGCGCTGGCCTCACCATGCGCTGGCCTCACCATGCCGTGGCCTCACCATGCGGTGGCCGGAGCGAGGCGAGGGGGCGCCCTTGAGGGTCAGCTGCTCCCACTCGTTGCTGTTCAGATCCAGCCGCCATAGGTCCTGTGGTCATGGGTGGCACACGCAGCAGGGACGTGCAGTGGAGGTGCTGTTGGCTGTGGGAAGGCACGAGACGAGACGCATGAGTGGTGTGTGGTGAATGGAGTGCAAGTGTAGCAAGATGCACTCAGTCACATGTGGGTTCAGTGCAGCACATCAGCAGCGCGCACCTTCAAGTGGTGGAACCTCTCCTGATTGGGCGCACCTTGAAGTGGTGGAACCTCTCCTGATTGGGCACACCTTGAAGTGGTGGAACCTCTCCTGATTGGGCGCACCTTGAAGTGGTGGAACCTCTCCTGATTGGGCGCACCTTGAAGTGGTGGAACCTCTCCTGATTGGGCGCACCTTGAAGTGGTGGAACCTCTCCTGATTGGGCGCACCTTGAAGTGGTGGAACCTCTCCTGATTCGGGGACGTGAACTCGCCACCTGTGGCCACGCACATCACACACCGCACACAGGCACACACAGCACGTGAGACATGAGATAAGACACACGCAGTCCATTCAGCATGGACAAAATGTCAGTCAACACAAACAGATTCGCCTGGCCAGGTCACGTGGCACAGGGCACGCACCGAAGACGAAGAGGAAGCTCTTCCAGGCGACCGCGTGGTGGCCGCTGCGAGGCGGCGGGCTGTTGGGGCTGCTGACGAGGCGCCACGTGGCCTTGTCTGCATTGAAACGGTACAGATCGCCGTACACGTACGTCTGGTGGGGGTGGGGGGAGGGGGGTGGTGGGACGTTGGGCAGACGAGGCAAGGTTGAGAAGAGCAGCAATGGGCAAGAGCAGGAGGTCGGAGGAACGCACAGCGGTGGAAGGCGAGCAAAGATTGAAGTGAACTCAATGATTCACATAGCTCCACTCATGGTGGGCGCAAGTGGCCCATCCCGCAGGTGTGACCCCAGGGCGCACCTTATCCCCGTTGACCCCAGGGCGCACCTTATCCCCGTTGTAGAACTCCCCGCCAAAGATGATGAGCTCCGTCTCCTTGAGCGGATTCACCACCATCTGCCACGCGGGCGCGCGGTGAGCGGGCAAGAAAGAGGGGCCACAGAATGAAAGAGGGACGGGGAAGCAGCCGGGGGCGAGAGGGGCGAGGGAGAGGAAGCGGGGAGAGGAAGGGGGCGAAGGAGAGGCGATGGAACGAGTGCTCATGGATGGATGGGACGTCTTACCAAGTACCACCGCGTTGCAGCGAGGGGATGCGAAAGGGAGGGGAAGGGGGCGACTCACGATGGCATTGCAGCGAGGGGAGGGCGGCGGCACGCCCTCCTCCACGTGCACCTCCTTCTTCCTCGCCTCCTCCAACGCTATCTTCGCCTGTATGACGTGCATGTCGCACATGCCCCCCATGCCACACATGCCACACATGCCCCACATGCCCCACATGCCCCACATGCCCCACATGCCCCACATGCCCCACATGCCCCACATGCCCCACATGCCACGCATGCCACATATGCGAGGCAGAGAGAGAGCAGGGAGAGCGGAGGCCGCCCTGTGGTGCATGTTGAGAGAGACTTCAGATCACACATGTTGAGAGAGACTTCAGATCACACATGTTGAGAGAGACTTCAGATCACACATGTTGAGAGAGACTTCAGATCACACATGTGTGCCGCTCCCGCCCCTCGCCTTGAGACCAGCTGTGTCCCCCTCCTACCGAGATCCATCCACAGCTTGCTGCCTCACCGCCCCTCTCCTCGCCCCTCCACCGCTGCCAGACCCATGCTTGCATGCCCCTCGCCGACATTCGCCAGTGGCCAGTGGCCAGTGGCCAGTGGCCATGGGGTGCTGCCTCTCCTTCGACGCACCTCAATATCCAAGCCATGCCCTTCCTCATTGCCCCCTTTCCCCCTCAACGCCCCTTGTTTCACCCCCTTTCCCCTGCTCCCCAGCCCCCCCCCCTTGGCCGCACCAGGATGGCGTCGACGTCGTCCTCCTCGTCCACCTTCTTCTCCTCGCGCCGCTGCTTCTTCGCCTCCGCCTTCGCCGTCTTCCGCTCCGTCTTCTCCTTCCCCTTCCCCGGCTTTCCCTTCCCCTTCTTCCCCATCCCCGCGCACCACCACCGCGCGCGCGCGCCTTTCCGAACGACCTGCGCACGCGCGTCCGGAGGTAGCCGTAGAGCGTCCTAGCAAAGCACTACTGATGGCACTGGCTAGGTAGGTGTTAGAAGAGCAAGCGGCACGAAGAGGGCGACTTGGGAGCTCTCTCTGGGGCACGCTGCTAGTGGCGCCGCCCGACGCGCAAGGGGGACACAATGTGGGAAGCGGCGAATCGAGACGGCGTGTGCTCCAACAGATCGGCAGCGCTGAAATCGCGCAACAGGAAGCGGGAACGGTGTTCCTCGCAAGCACTAAAACCTCCCGCAAATTTCTTGCTGGGACAACTCGACACAAACAAGCAACTAGGGAATTTGGCCCCATCCTCCTTGTGATGCTCAAGATTCCCAAACTCGGTTCCACGTACCAATGCTTTTATGATCCAGTATGCAGGCAGCATAACTATCTATTGCCAAGCTAAGTTATGCACAATTAGACGAGGTTTAAATTATTGGCTGATACAGCAAATGTTCATTCTAAATGTTGTTTTTCATTCTATACGCTATCCCCAACAATGTCCCAATCAGTTGTTTCATCCCATTGCAAGTTGCAACCTTTCAAGTACCGTATCATTATCGCTTGTCCCTTTTTTATAGCTTACATATATACAACAGTCCAATTATGGTCCTGTCCTCATTAGTGGACAGCTTTTATTGCCTCCCACGTTAAATACCAGGAAATTTTATTCCCTAAGTTCCATCCACTAAAATCAATTAGTGAGGACTGGTCACTTACGCTTCCCACCAGGCGGTGGTGGTGGTGCCTTGAGGGGAGGAGGGGGGGCCTTGGGGGAGGCAGGTGGAGGGCTGGCCTTGGGGGGGCCTCCAGCAACGCGGGCGAGGACACCAACGAAGGGGGCGTTGATGGAGGTGGAGGGCTCCACCTGCTGGTAGTTGTCCCTCTCGTCCCGGAATGCATCGCTGCTGTCTGGCCCGCCTATCACCGCCCCCGTCAGCACATTCACGTTGGGGGCCTGCGGGGGGTGCGTGGGGAGCAGAGGACGGAGCAAGGTTGGGAGGGCGGTGACGAACCTACATCACGAGATTGATCCTACATCATTCATTGTTATGGTAGCAAGGGCGTTGGTGTGCTGACTGGGCAATGGGCGTGGTGTGGTGTGGTGTGGTGTGGTGTGGGGTGGAGGGGAGAGGATGGGGCAGGGAGCACACCTTGGACTGGAAGGCGGGCCAGCCGTCGTTGCAGCCCATGCGTGTGTTGTTCACCCAGATGGACGGCAGCGATGCACCGCGGTGGTGCACGTGCTGTGGGTACGAGGAGGAGAACCCCACCATGTAGCTCACCTTCTTGGGGTTCACGCCCAATATGTAGTCCACCTGCCCTCGGGTGTGCATAGCATGGCAGGGAAGGTGGGAGAGAGGGAGCAGTCACACACGGTGTGGCCCGGAGAGCAGCTGGAGAGACGAGCAGGAAGAGAACAACAAGAGACAATGCTGAGGAGAACGCCGGGATACTTGCTACAGGTAGGGCAACGTGCAGTGGCAGGACCCACCTGGCGTTTGACGAAGCGGCGCATGGCGGTGGGGGTGACGGGCGTGGAGTCGCACATGATGGCCGTGGCGTTGCCGGCGCTGGCGGGGGCGGCGTCCAGGATGTCAGCAAAGGCGGAGAGCACCATGCTGATGGCCGTGACGTACTGCAGGTTGCTCCATGACATGAGGAACAGCATACCGCCTGGATTCGGTGAGTGGCACAGGGCACACCGTGCAGGGGGAAGAAACATCACGAGTTGCAGCACGATAGATTTGTAGTGGGAACATGGATATCTGATCCCTAGGGAGGTTGCGATTTGATCATAGTCTGTTCTCTGAGGGTGTGGGTGGCGGCACGGCACGCACCTGGTGATCTGATGCCACGCACCACGGTGCCGCACACAAAGTCCTTGGCGCGCTTCAGATACAGCTCCAGTGACGGGTCCTGCTGCCGTAGGTACTCCTGAGAGGGGGGAGAGGGAGGAGGGGGGGGAATGGGAGGAATTGGTTGAAGGGAGTAAGGGGGAAGAGGGAAGTGGGCAGTGTGGGTCCAGCATGAAATTGGATGGGATGGGAGCATTGTGTGGGATGGGGTGGCAATGGAAGATTCGCCAGGCAGCAGCGGCCCCAGAAGCACCGTTCTCACGCCCCTGCCCTCACCTTAGCCAGCAGCACTTGAGCTCCGGCATACTTGTTGTCCCACGAGAAGTTCTGCACTGACGATTGCGTGCCGCCCAGCTGCTTCTCGTTCGTCACGATGTAGTCCAGATACCGCCTCTCCCCCGTGGCGCGGTATAGCCACACAGCCGCCCACAGCAACTCGTCCTGGGCGGCGCAAAACATGTAAGACGACACATCAGCATACACAGAAAAAGACACGTCAGCATGCACAGAGCAAGACACATCAGCAGCATGTCTCAGAGCGGGCATGTGTGCTGGCACAGGCAGAACAAGGAGTGATGGTGGGACACAGCAGGGTGCGGGAGGGGGGAGAGCGACGCACATTAAAGCCAGAGTAGGAGTTGTAGAAGGCGGAGGCGGAGGGGATGCTGTCCGTGTACTTCTTCGGGTACTTGCGAGCGAAGTTGAACAGCTGGTGCCACGGGTTGGAGGGTTGGCAGGAGGGGGGGAGGGGAGGGTGGGGGGAGCAGGGGAGTCGGGACTCGGGAGGATAGTGAGAGGAGATTGCATTGCATTGTGAGGGAGCAGACCATCAGTTAATGCAAGTGACGAAGTTCGCGGAGCTGGCATAAAATGGACTGCATGGGAGCAGCGCAGCGCACCTGGCGCGCATGGGTGAGCAGCGCACCTGGCGCGCATGGGTGAGCAGCGCACCTGGCGCGCATGGGTGAGCAGCGCACCTGCCGCGCATGGGTGAGCAGCGCACCTGGCGGGCGTGGGTGAGCAGCGACTTGGAGTAGTTGGCGTCTGTCTTGCCAAACACCATGCTCGACGCCGCCAGTGCTGCCGCCGCCTCGGCAGCGGGCTCGGTGCCGGGGTGCTGAGGGTCGAGGCGGTATGCGGTGCGCGGCGTGGTCATGTCCTCGGGGCGCTGCCAGCAGCTGTGATCCGATTGCCCGTCGCCCACCTGCGCTTGCCATGCACGCATGTGGTGATGTACGCACACATGCAGTCAGTGAGGTGAGGCGAGGAACAGAAAGGGCATTAGAGGGCAGCTCAGAATGTGAGAGTGAAAACTCAGCAGTGAATGAAATGGTGAATGTAACAACGGTTACACGGACAGCCCATCTGCCCATGGTCGGGGCACCTGCACCCTCATCCGCGCACATGCTCTCTCATCCGCGCACATGCTCTCTCATCCGCGCACATGCTCTCTCATCCGCGCACATGCTCTCTCATCCGCGCACATGCTCTCTCACCCGCGCACCTGCGCGTAGAGCACGTTGGGTTTGGGGTGCGCGTGCACGAAGAAGTGCGCGCCCCACCGCACGGCGTCGCGCGCCGCCTTGATCTGCCCGAGCGCCGTGAGCTGCGGGCCGTACTCGACGACGCTCCAGGCGAGCGCGGTGACGGTGAAGGCGAGCGGGAAGCCGAACTTCACGTTGTCGCCCGAGTCGTAGTACCCGCGCGTCAGGTCCACCTGCCGCCGCCGTCACCGCGGGGAGGGAGAGGGGAGAGAGGAGGGGGGAGGGGGAAGGAAAGGCCACGTGAGGGCGCGGGTTGGGGTAGCGCGCGAGCTGCGCGAGTCCGTTGCGCTGACGGCGTGTTTCGTTCACTGCCGCCGCTCTGTGCTCGACGGCTATGCTCTGCTCTGCGTTATCCTGGGGTTGAGGCGAGCTGCTAGAGTGTCGACTAGCGTTCCATTTCCGCCCTTTTCTTCCGCATTACTCGGTCGTTTCCTCTCCCCCTTCCACCTGTACCTCCGCCTGTACCTCCCCCTAGCCCCTATGCTTCCCCCTTACCCCTTCCGCCTTGCCATCCGTGAGTCCCGAGTCGCCACGCCACGTGGGTAGCTGCGAGCGCGGCAGTCTACCGGACCGCTGCAGCTGGAAGAAGAAAATGCATTTTTCCAGCGCCTCGCTGTAGTTCAACCGCGCCGCCGCCGCCGCCTCTACCGGCGCTGCCACAGCCGCTGGGTCTGGCGGTTTGGCGGCCCACGAGCGTTGGGGAATGCTGCTGAAGGGCAGCGCGACGGCGAGCAGGAGGACGACGAGGAGCGCGTTTAATCGCGTGGCTTCCATCGTCGCGCAAAGCGAACAGGTTACCGAACGGGAATATCTTATTGGCACAACTACGGCTGCCTAGCGGAAAGCAATGTAAATATATCTTATGGCTTTTGTTGTTTTGTACATGTGCAATTGAACATGAGTCGCGTGGTCTGCTCGAGAAACGAAAGAGATCCTACGGGCCAGCAGGTGGTGTGCTTGAATGTACATTGGCATCCTATTACTAGTACACCCTGCTCTCACCTTCACTGGCTCACTCACTTCCGATTACCGTATTTCGCATGCCTGTACCGTGCTGTACTGTGATTCAGATCTCCCAAACTTGAGTGGAACCGCTCGGGCGCTGTTGTGTAGGGCGGGTGCCCGTGGCCGCGGCACGTGACTCGCTCGCACTCTGCTCAGAAAGAAACGCCAGGCGGAGGGGCAGCGCAGTGGACTGGAGTGGGGAAAGCAGGTGGCAGGTGCACCTCCCCAAAGGGCAATTCGTTCCCCGCTGTGGCGCCCATTTGCGTTTCCACCTGCGCCCATCCTCTCCACCGAATCGCTGCGCCTCACAGGTGGTTGGGGTGGTGTGCGCCGCCGCAACCCTCCTTGGGCCTGGCGAAATTTCTGGAGTTTACGAACTTCCGCCGGCGGAATCTTCACCGGTTCGCCAACAAACACTCGCAAATATTCTGGAAGAAATGTAACTGAAGAAGTTTACCCCTATCAACATACTCGTTACAGATAGCACAGCCACACATATTCTGTAATGTCATCTCAAAGCATAATGGCATCCCACCCTAACAAATGCTACACAGCCTTCAAGACATCTGGTGCAGCTTTCAAATGAAAATACGCAGGTGCAATCTCATTAGAATATTCCCTTTGTTGCAGATTTCCTCTAGGATAAAATTCGGGCAGATTTCCTGTAGGATAAAAGTTGTTATTAACATTTAATTCCTCTGCTACAGCTATACACATACCATACCGGTACCATATGGGTCGTTCTCAATCCTTGTTGCAAAGAAAATATGACCGTGTGCAAACAAAACACAGTATATCGCTTCACATACATGTTAATTGAGAAAGTTTGCTTTCTTATTCTTGTCAATTGGCATCGTTCTCATTACAAATGGCTGTTTACAACAGTTTGCATCACAATTGAACACAAGCTAGTGCATGCTCCTATCACTAGCTACGATATACCCTATCCAAGTGGCATGCGCGAAACGGTTTACGCTGGGGTGGGTGGTGGGAATGTTGAGTGAGCCGTTTGAAAATAGAGAAACGTGGGTGGAGGGAAATGAGCTCCAACCCACGGTTTTTGTAGTTGGAGAAGGGCGTTTAGCATGCTTTGACGATGCCAATTGTGCAATACAAGCAGCTTCGCTTTCACAATACACAATTTAAAAAAAAACACTATGTGTGTTTAAAAATTATAATATTGAGAAAGCTTGCTTTCTTATTCTTATCAATTGGCATCATTCTCATTACAAATGGGGTCTCTGAGACATAGGCAGCAAAGGCCTCCAGTTACGTAAGAGTGCCTCTGTGTATTGTGCCGAAGTCACCGCATGCGTCGGATCTTGTAGGTTGCGGGAGGCTTTGATGAGAGGCTCGACGTATGGCGTGACATACATTTCCTTTGCTGTGCTGCTTTGCCATCTGCCCAGCCGTTTGAAGACTCTGTCTGGCACTCCAGTGTTGGCTGCTACTGTGGCTGCGCCTTTTCGGAAAGAATGAGTGCCGAGCTGCAGCTCGCCAAGGCCAACCTTTGCGAAGGCTTCCTTGCACCAGTTGCGGATTGTAGTGTATGAAGGTGGCCTCGCCTGACCTTTGCTAGTTGAAGCATGGCCGAAGACGCGAATCAACGGTCCTTCTGACTGAGGGCCATAGCCGGCGAGTTGGATGAAGCGTCGGGTACAGCGCACTGGGCAACAGAGGTCCGATGTTGCTGCAATGGGAATCCATATGCCATGACCGGCCTGATCAAGTCTTGGAGTGTGGTATGAGGATCCACATGACCTCTTCGTCGAATTGAATGTCTTGCCACTTTATGGCCACTAGGTCGAAGTATCGCATAGATCCTGAGTACATGAGGATGGGGATTAACCCTTTCTGGAATTCCGCAGGGTCGTCGGACCGCAAATAACTGTCGGCCATGTCTCGGACTTGTTGGATCGATACGCGTTCCTTTAGACGAGTACGGCGAGGGCAATGTCGTTTTGCACAGTCACGCACTTGGGTGGTGAATGGTCCGATTATCGGGCATTTGCTCCCAGTCATGCGATGGGCGAAGCTGACTACCGAGCACGTCAGCTGCACTACGGACAGGGTGGCTTTACGTCGGATTGCTTGTACCAGGTATAGTGCGAGGGTCATGTCAGAAGCTAGAAGAAAGGGAAGATGCACTTTTGTGCAAAAGGCTCGAAACTTGGCCCAGTATGGTTCGTATGTCCGGATCGTAGAGTCGGCGCGGGATTGTGCAAGCATGTTAATCAGTTGGTAGTGTAGCTTCGGGAGCAAATCTGAACACAGGCGCATACATTATGAATTAGTCAAAAACCACTCGCAGTGCAACGATTGGGCTGTACGGTAGTCCCGTGCCCGAGAAGGCAGTGGAATGGGACCCTACTGTCAGAATGTTATAGTGCTTACATTTGTGTAGGCTATAGTGGGGTAGCCCATAAGAGGTACAACCCAATTAGGGTTAGTACTTGTACCCAACTGTTTCCTAGTTCATTCATTCTTGTTCGTTAAGTCTGACATGGTTTCAGAGCAGGTCCTCCGTTAGGACCGAAGTTTTTTTTGGGCCCACCACTGAGCTGCCCTGCTAGCGACCCTCGTGTCGCCCTTGCTACTCCGCGAGCCGCCCTCGTGCGGCCTGCACGACGACCCCTAGCCCCGGCCCGTCACCCGTCGCCCCCTAGGCCCGGCTCGTCGCCCGTCGCCCCTAGGACCCGGCCCGTCGCCCCTGGCCCCGTGGCCCGTCGCTCGTCGCCCCCCCCCCCCCCCCCCCCCCAAGGCTCGGCCCGTAGCCCGTCGCCCCTAACCTAGGCCCCGGCCCGTCGCTCCTGGCCCCGCGGCCCGTCGCCCCTAGGCCCCGCGGCCCGTCGCCCATAGCCCCTAGGCCCCGCGGCCCGTCGCTCCTAGGCCCCTGGCCCGTCGCCCCTGGCCCCGCGGCCCGTCGCCCCTAGGCCCCCGACCCGTCGCGCCTGGCCCCGCGGCCAGTTGCCCCTAGGCCCCGCGGCCCGTCGCCCCTAGGCCACCGGCCCGTCGCTCTCGGCCCTGCGGCCCGTCGCTCCTGGCCCCGCGGCCCGTCGCCCCTAGGCCCCCGGCCCGACGCCCCTAGGCCCCGCGGCCCGTCGCCCTTAGGCCCCTGGCCCGTCGCTCCCGGCCCCGCGGCCCGTCGCTCCTGGCCTCGCGGCCCGTCGCCCCTAGGCCCCCGGCCCGTCGCCCCTAGGTCCCGCAGCCCGTCGCCCCTAGGCCCCCGGCCCGTCGCTCCCGGCCCCGCGGCCCGTCGCTCCTGGCCTCGCGGCCCGTCGCCCCTAGGCCCCCGGCCCGTCGCCCCTAGGTCCCGCGGCCCGTCGCCCCTAGGCCCCGACCCGTCGCCCCTAGGCCCCGGCCCGTTGCCCCTGGCCCCGACACGTCGCCCCGCGGCCGCCCCTAGGCCCTCGAGCCGCCCCTTTTCCTTGCGCTGCCCGGCCTCTGCCCGCCCTGCGTGCTGCGCCATTATGGCTTCTCTCCGCGTTCTAGCGTTCGATCACGAGGGCCGGCCGATCCAGTATGACACGCGGCTCGACGACTTGCAGCTGTACCTACTGAGCGACTCTAGGGACAGTGTTTCGTTGTTTGACCACACATCAAGCGCCGCTCCCGCCCCTCCCACCACAGCTGACAGTGCGACTCGCTCACAGTGGCTTACTCGTGACGCTGCTGCTCGCTTAGCCATTCGCAACCACCTTCCGTGTGCGCTCACTTCGGACAGCACAAGACAGCACAGGCACTGTACGACGCTGTAGTCGCCCGTTACTCCTCGCCTGCCACTGCTGCTCTAGGCCATCATCTACTGCCCTACCTGTTTCCCGCGCTGTCCGCCTTTGCCACAGTAGAGGACCTAGTTGCCCACCTTCGCACTAGCGTCGCTCGCTACCGTGCTGCCCTCCTAGCGGAGTTCCTTGCCAAGATTCCGCCCCCGATGTTCAACACTCTCTACTTTATAGTCACCCGCCTCCCTGACTCTCTTCGCACTGTCAGGGACCACTCTCTCGCGCTTGACCCCACAGCCCTCACTGTTAACCTTCTCGAGCAGCACCTCCTTGCAGCTGAGACTAGTGTAGTCGCTGTAGGTGCTGCTCGTGGCACTCCTCGCACACCCTTCTTTGAGGGGTGTTCCCCCTCCCCCCTTGCCCCCTCCTACGCCTCTGCTGCTGCTGTTGACGTCCTTGGTGCTGAGGATGTCGGAGCTGCTTCCGCTAGTGGGAAGCACCGCAGCAGCAACGGCAAGGGTGGCAGGGGTGGTGGGGGTGGCAGCGCGGATGGTGGTGGGGGCAGCAGTGGTGGTGGTGGAGGCGGTGGAGGTGTTGGCAGCGATGGGAGTGGTGGCGGGAGTGGGGGCTCTGGTGGCGGTGGTGGAGGCAGCGGTGGGAGTGGCGGTAGTGGAACCGGTTGGAGCGGTGGCGGTAGGACTGGAGCTCAGCGTGGAGGTTCTGGAGGAGGCCAGAGGCAGCGGCAGCAGCGTCGGAGCAAGACCCTGTCGCCCCAGCACCTTCGTGAGTGGTTGTTTCAGCGTGGGGCGTCTGGGGGTAGTGTGAGCTGCCCGTATGTCATTCGCACAGGTTACCGTGCTGGTCAGACATGCGAGAAGCCTCACACTCAGCACCGCTGCTTCTCCCGCCTCGACGACGCTTGGCGCGCTGAGTTTGGTGACGAGGTCGAGCGCCCCCACTGGGCAGAGCTGCTTAGGTCTGGAGTTGCAATCTTTGACCTAGACTATGATGCTATCATTTCTGCTATGTATGCTTTGTCTGTTA